CCGTGCACAGGTTGCAGCATAAAGTTAGAGAGAAAAACAGCAACCCACCCAAATTTCAGCAGCGGAGACATAGACTCTGTTGAGTTTATGTGGCCTTTAAAGATATATAAATCATATTTAATAAATGAAACATAAACTTAGTGGGAGTACAGTCCTTTTGTGGACTATAATAGACAAATGTTATTTGCTGATATTTGGATTAGGCTCGACGAACTAGGCCAGCCGAGGTTTAGAAAAAACTAAGAGACCTAGGCATAAGGATCTAATTGAGAAGGGTTTAGTGGGTTAACCCTTAATGAAGTCGGTTTATGTCTAGATGAGAGCTAAGGGACCGTGTAGCCCGTACGTGTGATGAATAGCCTTTAGAGACTGGGCTAAAACTTCATCGTTATATCATCATACGGCATGTACATATAGCTGTTTTGAGATTCGCCAATGAGGCTGAAACGTGTACGGCATATACATAGATAGCCATTTTGAGATTCGTCAATGACGGTGAAGCGTGTACAACATGTACATAGATAGCCATTTTGAGATTTGTCAATGAAGGTAGTGTGTACATGTGTGAGAGATTACCCCTATGCACCATAGAGTCATGGTTGCATCATGGTTTGGATGAGCATGATTAAGGGAGAACCTGAAATCCATAAACTGGGATTGCATCCCTTAGTCTATTGACTGACTTTGGTGGTCCAATTATGCCCCTGTAGTGGACTGTGGGTCATAGGAACTGTTGGGTCAGTTTGAGAAAGTTAGGCGGATCGTGCTGCAGTGGACTATAGGTCATAAGAACTGCTGGGTCAGTTTGAGAAAGCTAGACGAATTATGATTCGCAGTTGAGGTGAAGTACTCCCATGTATTGATAATTTCTTAGATCTAGCGGATCCGATTCCCAATCAAAATTAATTAATTTTAATTAATTTTATGTTATGCGATTTTTAGAATGTTTATTTGAATTTTTTTTAATCTTCTGATATTTTATTTTTGTCATTTGGATTTATAAATTAAGAAAAATTAATTTTCCAATGTTTTAAATAAAATATAATATTTAAAATTTTTTAAATATGAAATAAAATATTTTCTAAAATATATGAAACCCTCATAAAATATGGAGCTCAAAATTTACAAACATGTGGATTAGGTAGGGCCCCCATGTGGCCACCAAAAGGGTGGCACGCCACAATATTCTTCTTGGTAGGCTTATCTTTTTAGGTATAGCCAACTTATGTGATAATATTAAATATTTGGGATATTTATGATTCAATAATTCAGGATTGAATATATTAAAATATAAAATTTCTTTATTTGATGCGAATAGATTTAGGAAAAAGAGGATAAAACAAAATCTATGACATAGAAGATCTATAAAAGGAGATCTCCCTTCATAAAATTGCATACATATTTTCTTCTCTCTTTTTAATCCTCTCTCTTCGTACCCCAAATTTAGTTCTCTCCCTAGATTCCCAATGGGTCTTTACCCCAAATTTAAGTCTCTCCCTATATTCCCAAAGGGGATGCACGCTCAAATTTTTATCTAGTTCTCTCCCTAGATTCCCAAAAGGGAGGCACGCTCAAATTTTTATCTATCTCTCCAAGTTGTTTTGGGTGGTACCGAACTATCTCTTTCCTCTTTGGGAGGCACACCCAAATTTTTTTCTCTCCCCAAGTTGTTTTGGGTTGCCTCTTTCCTCTTGGGAGGCACACCCAAATTTTTATCTCTCTCCCCAAGTTATTTTGGGTGGTACATACTACCTCTTTCTTCTTTGGCCTAAGCCTAAGTGGTGTTTTTCTTTGTAGGTTGCAAAAAGGTAGAATCCCTTGCTAGTAGATCTCTCTCTCTCTTTTGATATCCATTTCTCACATCTCTAAAATCAAGCTAAGAGGCTGGATCAAAATTAAGTCATTGAGTGAATTTTTGTCATAGTAGGGAAAACAACGTACCGATCATAGATCCTGAACATATCATAGATCCCGAGCACATCCGAAGGAGGAGACTTGACGTGAGATGTACTAAGCCTCATTGAGGTAATCTCCGGTAATTTTACCTTTTTAAATTTTTATTTATGTTTTGATTATCTCTCATAAAGCAATAAAGTTTAGTTTTGTTGAATAAGAACTTGTATTTGAACAGGTAGTAATTGAGAACCGATTTTATTTTATTTTATTTATTGCAAGAGTGTTTTGATTGTAATTAGACATTGTGTGCCGGTGTAGAAATAAAGATTTTTTTAAAAAAATATATACGCTGTGCTTTATCATAAGGTCCTTTCACAAACTTCTCTCATGGCGTCCGATGTTGATGGATCTATAGAAATATACAATGCACGTTTGGTTGCCAAAGGGTATACACAAACCACGAGACTTGATTATTACGAGACTTTTGCACCCGTCTCCAAGCTAGTTACAGTGCAATGTTTACTTGTAATTGCCTCTGTAAGGAATTGGCCTTTACACCAATTGGATGTCAACAACGCTTTCCTGCATACAGACTTACATGAGAAAGTCTACATGACTCCTCCACCTGATTATACCTGAAAGGGGGAGATCCTCGTTTGTCGACTTCACAAATCTTTATATGGCCTCAAACATGCCTCTCATAAATGATTTGCAAGTTCTATGCCGCTCTCAAGGCATCCGGTTTCAAGCACTCCATTGCTAATTATTCTCTGTTTACATGCTCCAATGGTCACCACTTTACTGCAATACTTGTTTATGTGGATGATGTGATTGTTACTGGCATGACAACCACTCAATCAATTGCTTGAAATCCTACTGGATACAAAATTTCACGTCAAAGACTTAGGGCAGCTCAAATATTTTCTTGGTATCGAGGTTACTCGCTCAGTCAAGGGTATCTTCCTTAGCCAATGAAAATATATCTTGGATATTTTGAAAGTAACTGGTTTTCTTGGATCCAAATCAATTTGATTCCCAATGGAGCAGAATCTTCGGTTGAAGGTGGATGATCGTGTTGTTTTAGACGACCCTGGTGCTTATAGACGTCTTGTGGGAAGACTCATCTATTTGACGATTACGTGCCACGATATCACTTACTCAGTACATGTGCTCAGCCAATTTATGCAAGCACTTCGTAAGCCCCATCTTGAATTCTACAATATTTAAAGGCCACTCCGGGGCACCACTCAACGAATTCTACAATATTTAAAGGCCACTCCGGGGCATGGCATTCTGCTTCCATCAACAAGTAACTTAAATATGACGGCCTACTCTGACTCAGATTGGGCAAGTTGTCCTACTGGGTATATTACCTTTTTAGGCGCAAGCCCAATCTCTTGGCATATTAAGAAGCAAAACATTGTAATATGTTCTTCGACTAAGGCTGATCATCGGTTTATAGCCACCTCTTCTTGTGAATTGACATGGCTTAAGTTTCTCCATGTTGATCTTGGTGTTACGCAAACCAATCTTGTCTTCCATGAACATACCAAGCACATAAAATTGGACTGCCATCTTATTCAGGAAAAGATACAATCTGGCCTCCTCTCCACTTCTTATGTGCCATCACGATTACAACTTGCAGATATCTTCATTAAGCCCTTGGTTGTACGCAGTTTCACTTATTATTGTCCAAGCTGGGCATTACGTGTCTTCACGTACTAGCTTGAAGGGGAGTATCGACGATTTCAAATTCAAGTGACGATTTTGAATTCAAAGTTAGAAGACCCATTCAAAATGAGATCCTATTATTGTTATAACTGTTTGTTGTTATCTCATCCTTTCAATCATGTGTTTGAGAATTATTTGTATCTATCTTCTATCTTATACATCTATAAGTGGAACGTTGTGTCCATAATGAAGATAGCACTTTCACATTTTAACACAAACAATAGGCCATTGAAGCATAAAGTTACATGTATCCTTTGGGGTTAGTTGTTTAGTATTGAGTTTGAAAGAAGAAATAGTAGTGGCGGAATGGTACGACCTCTAACACTGGCTCAGGCCTTTGAACTAACTGAGTGGCCAGAAGTAGATGTAGTTGTGCTACGAACCAACTATGGGCCTGCACAATCCAAGGCAAGTCAGCAAATGGGGGAACCACTGTATTGATCAGGGTTTGCCACAGATCAACTCTAAGAACCAGCTGAGATGGCAGATGACAAAATTTTCTCCCAGACATTCAAGGCGCAACTGACAATGATCATGCAATTTGAAGGTGAATATGAAAATGAGATAACACAGGAGTTGGATGGACTAGAAGAGAAGGAAGACAATTTCACCTGAAGTGACTAGCACTTACACAATGGATGGATGCATAGCTTTTTCTTGAGTTCAATCCTTAAGGTTTTGGTTCTAAAAATGAGAGCATGTAGTTTCCATCGTATACTGACCTCAAATTCGACCATTCTATTATTCTTTTTAAATTTTCACTATGAATCGTTTGCTGGTGATGTTGGGCTCTTACTTCCAAAAAAGAGAATTTGAATGGTTGCATAAAATTGGTTAGGTAAAGTAGGCAGGTACTCATAAAGTATGGTCATGATCATGAACACAAAAGAGGGCAATTTAATCAGCTTAAGAATTAAGCCTCAAAACTATAGCAGCTTTTCTTTTTTAATTCAATGTAAATGCAACAGTAAATTACTCATTTCCAAAAAGTAAATACACATTATAGCTTTGTAATTACAATGTACTCTCAAAAAGTATGTCCCTATGTATTAATCAAGAACTAATGTATCTTTTCATGAAACCTGAAAGTAAAATGATGGAACATGATTCATGTAGCCAACCTCAATTAGTTGAGATAAAACTTGGATAATGGTAAACAAAAGACCTCCCAAGTTCAGAGCAATTAAAGCCCAAATAGACTGTATCAACGCCTCTCCAGAAGCATTAAGTTCAACCTGTTGGGTGAAATCTGTTCCTCTTAGATACAATGCGGTTTCTTTTATTTTGTGTGTTCTCTTCAAGAGAGTGAATGACTTCCTTTGTCATCATTTTTCTCTCTTTCAGCAAAACAAGGACTTCATGTCTCACAAAGATTAAAGATCCAACTAATCAATCATATAAATAATCATATAATATACAATATATGTCAATGCCGTATGATTAATCTTTTCGTGCGACAATGAGATTATGAAAAAGAACAAAACTGTTGCTGATCTGGGGCTTGCCTGCAAATGGAGCGTGCCAAAGTATACCTTGCGTGCTGAAGATGTTACTTGTAAGAAAACTAAAAGTGGTAACCTTCACCCAAGGGGCAAAATCAAATGCATTTTGCACATTTGGGGCTAACCAACTAATAAACAAAACAGTTGGAGTTAACCATAACCAGGCAGAATCAAATGCATGATGCGATTTATCAGAACTAGGCTCTGCATCTTTTGACATGAACTCTGCAAATGCCTGGATGGGGTCAAATTTGATCCCGATGGCAATTTTAACTGACAAATGGTCCAATAAAGTTGAAAAGCTAATCGACCTCTCAACCAATGGCAAGGACTCATCGTGTTGGCATAGCTGCATTGGCAAACTTACATTAACACTCAGCATGTGGCCGGCCCAAAGAAACAAACAAATCGAGCCCAAACAAAATTTGCAAAGAAAGGAATCGCTACGGATGCTGTGCTTTGTACAAAGTGGTTACCTACTGAGAAATGGTTGAGGAAATGCTGTCCCATGAGCTAGAGGGAAGCCAGAAAAGCTTATTAAAAATGATCAGGAAGGCCTCCTTCTAGAATCAACTCCATCACCAACATCTTGGATCCCCAATGACTTGAAGCCAACACTCTCACGTCTGTCTCTGCAATATCTAAAAGGATTCCCGTCCTCTTCTCTGCTTCTCTCCCTCCTGGCTCCATTGACTAACCTGCCATCGATGCCCTTATCATAATCCCTTGGACTCCCTCTCCTGTGAAAATCTTCTGCAATTTTAGGATGAGAAGAACCATGGGGCCTAAAACCATCTTCCATATCATAACGGGCACGAATCATTTCTCCATCTAGGTTGTAAGCTCTTGAGGATGGACCATAGGTTTCACCATGCTTCTTTCTCTCCTCATCACTGCCAGCATGTCTTGGTCCTCTTCCATTGCCAGCAAACTCGGGAAATCTCCCAGAATGCAAAGGTCTACCATAGTCATCCGCTTTCAACCTTCCTGGAATGCAGATTTCATCATACCTACGGCTACCCCTTATAAATGCTCTCCGCCCATTAACTAAAGAACTCTTAATGTCTTGGTGTTCCCTGAAATGATCCAATTCCCTAAGATCACCAACCCATCTTGATCTATGATGAGGAGAATCAGAACCTCTAGAGGATGATGACACTAAGTCAATGACACCAGTTCGTCGATGAGGTGATTTGAGTCTGCCTATTCTAGCTTCAGTCCTAAAATTCGGAGACCTGCTTCTTCTTCGAAAGCCTATACCACGTCCACCTCTAGTAGCTCTTGGAGGAGAAGGCCACAGATGAGGAGAGCGAGGAGTACGGGACCTTGATGGAGATTTTGTGCGTGAACGAGATAGATGGTAAGGCGAGCCCCTTCTCTGAGAAGGTGAAAGGCTTCTTTCCCTCTCTCTCCTGCCAAGATGACGGTGCTCCAATGTTAATAAAGAATCAATCCTTCCATTTCCCAAAGCCCTGTCATACCTAACACTGTGGCTTGAACCAATCATTTTCGAACCATATCGACCCTGACCCCGACCCAAACCCATTCTATCACGATGGATTTCTCTCCTTGACCCGAAACCCAACTCCATATCAAAGCCCACTGCGCCTTCTCGATCCGTTGGTGAAACCCTTCCACGTCCACCTCTTGATGGAGAATTTACAGACCGCCTACTAATCCTTCTAGGAGAACTTGAGCAACCGGCTTTAACAAGAGTTCCATCAGGTGCAACAACAAAGCCGCTGCTTTCTACCTTTGCAGCCGCAACTTCAGCTGCATTTTTTGGGCCAATGTGTGGAAAAGCAGGAGAACCATAACCATCAGGAGAACAACGCCGATTAGGACCCCAACGATCTGATGAATCCAAACGATGATCAGATGCCTTTGCCTGGCCATGCATTAGTGAAGATCCACCTCTTCCAACTGATTTGCCTCGACTAACATCACTTTCAAATCTTAACTGGGAGTCCTCATAGCTTTCAGATCTGAAGACATAAGACCAAAAGACAAGTATTGGTTGAAGACATGTTCCAAAACCCATGTATAAGTTCTTATAAATGTATTAGGCTACCATAATCAATGGCAAACACGAATGCTTTTTTAATACAAGGTAAAAAACTTTTAAATAAAATAATTATTTGACTATAATGGTTAAGGGCTTTTACCATGATACGGCTATTATTAACCCCTTTCTAACTTTCGAAATATTTTGAAAATATTCCAGGAAGAGGGGGGGGGGGGGGGGGGAGAAAGAGAGAGAGAGAGAGAAGCATATACAAACACAACACATTCAAGTATTGAGAGAGGGAGGGAGCACATATAAACACAACACATGCACAAAATAAGAGAGAAGCACATACACATGCACACATCATATACGTGCCTGTGTGTGAGTATGTGAGAGAGAGGTCTACCTGCTTCCCAATACATGTAACCTATCTTTTCTGTGGGACACATCAGAAGACCTTGACTTCTCAATCCTCAATGAGAACTCCCTTGCAGATGTCAACCCATATCTTCTCAAGGCTTTGCCAGCAGGAGGACCAGGCTCATCAAAGCTCCTTCTCGCAAGATTTCTCTTACCAATTCCTTCACCAATATCCAAAATTGCTTCTTCAGAATTGGCTCTTCCTTCTGGCAACCGTTTCCTTCCTGAAAATTTATTCGAACAAGCCGTTTCCTTTGATCCTGGACCATTTGCATCCATTCCAACCTGGTGATCAGCAATGACCACATTCTCTTGACTATCCCTTGATGCTTGAACAAGTTTTGAAAGGGCCTCATGATTCGGCTTCACCAGTCTCTCTTGGCTAGACAAAACATCAGAAGCTCCAGCTATTGTTGAACCTTGGAGGCAGCAATCATTGTTTTCTTGCTCATTCTTCCCAAAAACTTGATCAACTTCTTGATGAGCACCATTGATTTGTTGTGGATCATCGACTTTACATCCATTGTTATCAACTTTTACTGATGCCAAGAGATGCTCCTCTACAACAGCACCAAAGTTGTCACCCTCACCATTATCTGCATGCCCATAGGTGAGGTGTTCAGCTTCTTCTTCCTCAACTACATCTTCTTCCAAACCTACTTCCCTGAACTCCCCATCCTCAAACTGTGAGTCATCATCATCAGTCTGCTCTTCATCAGTGGCAGCATCATGAGTTGGATCTTTCAGAGAACCGTCCAACTCATACTCGATATCATAACCATCTCCTGATGCAACCTCAGCCATGCTGTTCACTTGATCATCAGGTTCACTACGCAAGCTTGTACTAACCATCTTCACATCTTTATCCTCAACCCTCAATCTAGATTGTTTGCCTTCTTTATCCTCAAGCAGTGCATGTTCACTAACCCATAATCCTCCACCATCAACTGCAGAATCTTTGCCAACACATAAGCCTGTGTCCATACCCAAGCTTTCACAAACCAGAGATACTTCCGAAATCGGGGCGCAAGAACCCAAATGGTCAGATTCCTCTGCCGCTTTTCCCATGCTGTCCTCCAAACCTATCCCATTTTTAAAGCAGTTATCTCCACCTGATCTGCTATCACCTCCTTTTGGTACTGAGATTTCAAAATCCCCCCCTATCTTACCATCATTGCTCAACACATGAGTACTCACCTCATCAGTGACAATTGGATGAGAAGATGCAGCTTCACTTCTCTCTGAGTGATCAATAAAATTTTCCTCATCACTGACATGTTTTAAACCACGACTTGTTGGAAAAGAATTACATGTTTCTGCATCACAATTTATGGTCTTTTGATAAGGAAAGGAATCTGCTGCTTTGACAGGAGATAGTGGATTGCTTAGAATTCTCCTGTCGCAACCACCAGAAACCCCATTATCAGTAACGCTATTACTTTTATCAACAATAGAATCAGCTTCCATCAGAAGCTCATCACTTGAAAATAATGCAAGATTCTCAGAAGCAACAAGACCTTTGTTTCCATTTTTCTGTTCAACGGAAGTCCCATGAGAAGAATCAAGTTTTGGGCACATGTTCATATATTGTGAACTGGGCTTTGCAAAGAACAGGGAATCTGAAGTTCCTAGGAAAGAACTCTGCTTTGTTAATAAAGAAGAATTCATGATTTCTTGATTTGCAATTAATTCTTCAGATTTATATGTCATTTCGAAAGAACTCTGCTTTGCTGATAAAGAAGAATCCATGATTTCTTGATTTGCAAGTAATTCTTTAGATTTAGTTACCATTTCAAGCTGCACATTGACACCAGACTTAGATTCCAATGGCTTTTCAACAGTGCTAGCCACAATTGTGCAAGCTATGGAGCCATCCACACCTGTCGCATTAGCCGATTTCTCAGCAAGTCTATCAGAGAAACATTCTGCTTCATTACGGTTTTCACAAACCACTTGCCAGCTACCCGTACCTTCCAACTTTTGGTTGCATGAGGTAACTTGACCAGACTGATCATCCATAACAGCATCAACTGTCAAAGGAGTCTCCCATGCATCCATCACAGTGTTCAAATCCCAGTGGAACCTCTCCCCTCTTGAGCTAGAAGAATCACTTTTTCCTCCCAAATCATTCTCTTTGTCCAAACTTGCATCAATGCTAGACAATAACTTATGACCTTCAGATTCCTTTGTTTCATTAACCATCAAATCAACACCATTCTCTTTGAAGGAGCAGCAAGATGAATTATGGTCCTTACAGGCTTTCTCATGTGCCAAAGGGGTTAATACACACACCTCACCACCTTCCTCCAAAGAATTAGAATGTTCCTCAACTGGACTAGAGCTGCAAGCAGCAGCTGCCAATATTGCAATACCATAGAAATCCACATTTTCAGGAGGGCCCTCAGATACAGGAGCAAATGAATAGTCAATATCCTCTTCAATAATCCCGTAACGAGGTTCCTTCCTGATAGAGTCATCCTTAATACAAGGATTGAATGAAGGCACAAGGGCTCGTGGAGAATGCATTTGAGGTGGGGGTGAAGGAGAACGAACCAAAGATATTCTCCTTTTCTTGATTGGCACAGAGGCACTAAAGCGCTGTCCAAGAAGAGTTACACCAAGCTGCCACATAAAAACAAATAAGAAACAAAGAATACATAACAACCAAACCAGTAGATGAGAACGGAAGAGGGCACAACTAATATCAGAATAGTGGTAAACTGAGACCTTCTCTGAATCAGAGACTGGCATATCCTCTGAAGGATTTGAAGCCTGCTTGTTCACTTCCTCCCCCTCCTTATAGCCTTTTTTAATAGTCAGTGCTTGAAGGCCAGAAGAGAATTCACTCCTGGCCCGCCTTCCACCCCTCCTCACTTTAGTAGCAGATTTTGTATCTGTTTTCCAGTTCAAGTTTGGGTCAATAAGAACTGAAAAATTGCGCCCCACCACTCTAGGTGATCTGCGTGTTAGACCTTCTCCTCTATCAATTAATGCACTTCCCCCACATGTGCTACATAAAGCATTAGGTGCTCGGCTTCCATGGTGATTGGATGATGATAGCGATGCAGTGGCTGGAACCCCACTGCAAGTGCAAGAGCAAATCTGCAGTTAAGGATCATAATATGTTAAAATAAGAAGGAACACATACCCCGACTTGGGCACAAACACTATCACCTTGGAAAGACCAATAAGAATGAGCTTGCAAAAGAATCTTGTGATTATATGAAAGGAAAAGAGAAGGAGAACAAGAAAACAGGCAAAGAGGACTGTGAGATAAGCTTGAAACAAGATAACATAAACTTCATGAGACCCAGAAGAAGAAGCACATAAATTAGCCCATCATGCATGGATATAAAAAATTCAAAGATGTGTAAGAAAGAGAAAACGAAAGATAATCACACACCATTGATTCAAATTCTTCATTATCCTTGCAACAGCAGAAACAGCACGCTGGTGGTTCCCTCTAAGTCGTTTCAGCAGATCTAGAGTCCACCAAAGACTTCAAATGCACAATTCCTCCTGCAAGATAAAAAGCATGAAAATGTTAGCACCTCAAGTAAAAGATGAACTCTAAATTCTAAAGCAAAAAATTACCAAAAAAAAAAGAAGTGTTCATTACAAGCATAGTTTAATATGCCCTATATGGTTTCTTTTTATGCCCCTGTAAATGGCATCACCCTAGAGGTCATAACACTGAGCCAGATAATTAAACGAACTTGTAGGGCTTCCAGGCTGCATCTTGATTTCGCATATTTGCGAAATGAAGTTTCAAGTTTCAACCAACAGAAGTTCTTATGACAGAAGCACCCAGTAGCATGGGACAATGAAAGTTCTTAGGGATTACAAATATGCTACAGACTAAGGAATATTTGGAATCAGTAGCAGCAGGATTCTAACAGCACGTCAAAATGCCGCAACCATTACTCAACTGGAACTCTCTAAATAATTCAATTTAGCATGTATCAGACAAGCCCCATTTAATGGCTTCCAAGGAAATGAGTCTCTACACAAGTTTATTCATAGACATCCCCCCCCCCCCCGCTATGAAATACAATTGCCCATAATCACCAATAAATTGGCATAAAACAATTAAAGTAGAGGCTAACAATCTGTCCTCTTTGAGGCTTGAATCAGTTGTGTTCATCCATCTTCGCCCATTCAGTGTATTTGCCGCATCATATACAACCAGCAAGCAAAATCTATCCCATGCTTCTTTTCTCTGAAGGAGTATCAAAGGGAAAATGTAGCATCCTTTCTCTACCAAATCCAACTTAACTGGTGCCACCATATAGGGTAAATTGCAGAAGACCGATCTCAACTTTTAGAAGGATAGCACATCATTTGTTGATCCAATGGCAGTTGACCCCAGGAATGATGAGCAATGCAACATCTGCAAACATCTAACTGGAGACTAAAACTAGTGAAAGCAGAAACCTATGTTCAATCTGGCGATTCGTTCAAAGAAAAGCATCCTATATCCAAATTTCGGGTCAAAAGCCAGGAACCAACAGTCCCTACTGATCCCCATGCCAAAGAATTGAACTAGCGGGAAGACTAGAGAACAAAGGAAATCGAAACCCGATGCAGCAAATCCTTAAACAGCAACAGAACACAATCCAGAACAAGCAGGCAAGGAAGATGAATTATCACGCAAAGGCGGAAATCCAATTAGTTCTCTATGATCAAAACAATAGCAGAAGCTATAACTTAAAAGTTTTCCTTTTTTTCTATGACAAACTCAACCCCGTCAAACCAAAACAAGTAAAACATCAAGGGACATGGAAGCAAGACTAAATCGGAATAAACACGCAGCCAATCAAGCAGCATATGGCTCCTTATCTTCCAAATAAAACCCAACAGAAGAAAACACCTGCAAACAAAACCCACAAAAGGGCAACCTGCCTGCCGTTTATAAACCCACCTTTCCCCTGTTCAATATTGCTTCAGATCATCAACCAGTAGCCCGCAACAACAAGGAAACCGGCCCCAATAGATTGTGTCTTCCAAAACCACCCAACAAAGCCACCTAGCGAGAAACTCTAGAACACGAAGCAGATCTACAAACCCTAAACCAAGTCTTCAACGAGAAAATCCTTTCCTTTTCCTCATCCTGCTAAACAAACGAAACCCTAATCTTCGCACAAGGTCAAGTCATGACACCATGTTGCTCCTAAACACGAGACAAACCCCAACCACAACGCGCACCAGATCGACCCATAAACAAACGGGCGTGGAGGATTTCAATCCTAATCTTGACCTTCAGAACCAGATGATGCCCCAAAAGGGACAAGATGATTGGTGGGCAAATCCACCATCTCTCTAAAACCGGCAGCTTCCTTTTCGGCCGACCTCTAAAAAAGGCAGGCGGCTACCCTAGAGTTCAGAGAGAAGGAAAGGAGGACCACAACAAGAATCCAAAAGCGTGTCTGCGTATAGAGAGAGAAACCGTGTAAGCGGTGGCTGAGTACCTCGATGAAGAGATATGTGGTGCCGCAATCAGTTGCAGAGGCAGAAGAAGAAGAAGAAGAAGAAGAAGGGTTTCTTAAAAGAGAGGCGCGGATCCCTCTCTCTCTCTCTCTCTCTCTAAGATGAAGAGCGGATGGTTCATTCAAAGACCATTCCTTGCGTTCCTTCCACTCGTTCCTTTTCCTTTTCGCCAAAATTCCCCACCTCTCTCTCTTGATTTGTTCCCAATCTCTTACCCTCCTTTCCTCACCATTTGATCCCTCACACTTTTCCCTCTTTTTATTTCACTCAATGTCTGCTTTTCCCTTTTTTCTTTGTTTTTTTATTTTTTATTTTTTATCCTATGTGATGATCGCCACCCTCTTTTCTCTACTCCTTCCTCTTTAACTCTTGGAAAAAAGATATATAAGGGTGAGGCCCTAAAGATTAGGATGAAGGCAAAAAGATATATGAGGGTGAGGCCCTAAAGATTAGTATGAAGGCAAAAAAGACATATGAGGGTGAGGCCCTAAACATTAGGATGAAGGCGCACCTCAAAAAAACTTTCCATGCTAAAAACCCTCAATTCGATCACATGACTTCAATATGTATGGGTATGCATATGAGAAAAAATGAATTTGAGGTCTTGAAAATACCGCATCTTGTAATGCATTATATAGATGGTCAGATTTTAAGATTATCTTGTAATGCATTATGTCGACGGTCAAATTTTAAGATTTTCAAGTGTTCGTAGATCTTCTCGATCTATAGTATTTTTTAATCTTTAAATTTTATAACTAAAGATAAAAATAAATTTTTAGGTCATTATAAAGACTTTTTATACTAAAACAATATGTTTCGGCACTATTTGAAAGTGCTCCTTGCTTTGATTGGTTTGGGCCTTAGCCTTATACAAACCATATTTATCCTTGAGATCAAGTCATTATGGAAATTTTTTACATAAGGTTGATGTCTTAAATTCTAAAATTAAATCGAAAAGGCTATTTTGATATTGGAAAACTATCTAATTAATCATGTTGACATCGTGATATACCGTGATATATAGATATGAAAAAAAATATTTTGAGTACCAAAAATAGAACATCTTGCAATACGTTATTTGTTGGCAAATACTGATAACCAAGATCCCTTTTCGATGTGGTGAGCTCCGCACAACAACAAATCTAACACCAAAACAAAATGCCTAAGAGCAATAATACGTATAATAGATTTGAGAAAGTATAGACAATAAAAAAGAGCAAAATGGGAAATCATCAAACCACCACTCAATCAAAACTACGACGCACACACCATTTTATGTAGTTCACCCAAAATAGGCTACATCACGGGTAATGGGCAATAATACATTCACTATCAATTGAGAAAATTTACAAGTTTTGTAGAGAGTACTTCACAATGACAAAAAAAATCAAATTGATTTTTCCCACCACAATACCATCATCAATCGACTCATTTCTTCGTCACCGTCGACCAACACCATCGCCGTAAAGAAATGCCACTGAAATCTGGCCCAATATAAGTGCATAATAATTCTAAGATTTTGTGCAAAAAACCCTAAATCTCTATCTCCCCAAAAACTTCCTTAAACTCTTTTTTTTTTTCCTTTTATAATGAACTTTGATGAGTCTCCATAAAGGCCAATTTGCCCTAATAAAAAGGAGGAATACCAAATCAGAGTGACTTGTACATCATATCGAATAATCTTCACCTTGATACAAAATCACACCCTTGCATTTCCAAACCCTCACTTCTTTCCTTCCTTGAAAACTAGAGAAGTTAGACTTCATTTTAACTTTTTTACTTGAATAGGTTTTATAGGCATATCCACTAGGTTGTTTTTTCTTTTAATCTTGACTAATTGAATTCTTCCATCTTCAACAACTTGCCAACTATAGTAACATTAAAACAATATATGTCTTAAACTCTTGACCTCATATGATGAACTGGATTCTTAGCCAAGTGAAGACACTATTAATAAAAAATAGTTCCATGGGCTTGCACATAATACCCATCCCATCTATCATCCTTGAAGCAACACTGCTTCTTTTGATGCCTCTGTTGCCACCATATATTCGGCTTCAGTAGTTGATATTGCTACTGTGTCTTAGAGCATTGATATCTACATTATCGATCCCTTTGCAAACCAAAAAACAAATGCGGCAATTGATATACTTCCATCAAGACCAACATAAAATTTTCCATCTATAAACCTTGTGTTGGATTAGATCCCTTGCTAAATATAACTACATAACCGGTAGTGCCTCTTAAACCCTAAAGCACTCATTTTGTTACTTCTTAGTGAACCTTTCTAGGGTTTGCATAAAATCGGCTAAAGAAACCAACCGTATGGGACAATATCTGGTCTAGGACATACTATGGTGAACATTGGGCTTCCAATCGCTTTTGCATAGGGCATCTTGGCTATGCTTTTTCTTTCTTCTTCTATATTGGGATTTTTCCTTCAAGACAATTTGGAATGAGGTGCTAGGGTTGTCTTCACTAGCTTTGTATTTTTTATGCCAAAATTTTCATGCACCATTTCTTTGTAAGCTTTTTGAGATAGTGACAAAATTACATTTTGCATATCCCTTTCAATTTCAATCCCAAGGTTTTGTCATGCCAGTCTAAGATCCTTCATAACAAATCGTTTGCACAAAGATGTATTGGGTTCATCAATCCTAGCCTTATCTTTGCACACCAAAAACATGCAATCCACATATAAGACTAAAATCAAGTATGTACATCATCAAAGAAATTTAAATATATGCAATGATCATACTTACTTCTAGAATGCTCAAGGCTGGTCAGAAAAATATCAAATGTTTTATACCATTGTCTTGATGCTTGCTTGAGTCCATACAAAGACTTATTCGATTTACACACAAGTCCTTTGCCCTTCTCTATAAAGCCTTCCATTGTTAGATGTATGTTTTCTCTTCAAGTTTCCCATGCAAAAATGTCGTATTCACATCTATTTGCTTGAGTTCTAAATTATATATAGCAACCAATACACGTACCAACCAAATTGAGATCAAATTGACTATCGGTGCAAAAATTTAATCAAAGTCAATACCTTGATTTTGTGAAAAACCCTTTGTCAATAATCTTACCCAATACTTTTTAAGCTTGTCATTGGGCCCTTTCTTTATTTTGAACATCTATTTACAACTAATTGCTTTTCTATATTTTAGTAGCTCTACCAAATCTCATGTTTTGTTTCTTTGAAAGGTCAATATCTCTTCTTCTATAACTCTTTTCTAATGATCGGAAGTATTACTTTCAATAGCTTCATGAAATGATATTAGCTCTTCATTTTCAACTATCAAAGCATACAAAGTATTTGAATCCACATAATTTTTATGCCTCTTGAGTGTTCAAGTTTATCTAGTAGAGCACCTAGATGCTAAAGGCCCAACTTCATCTTGATGGCCATATGGTTATTCATCTTCATTTCCCAATTCTTCATGTTCACCATGGTCAATGTGTTTATTCTCAAAAGCAATAGTTGCACTTGGTGGAAGCATTTTCGGGTTTCTATAAATCTCTTGGCTCGCTTCTTGGACTTCTTGATTATTGTTCTTCTTCATCATCCCTTTCTCAATATTGTGGGTTCATCAAAATGGACACCCCAACTAGTTATTATCTTGTGGGTATTTGGATCCCAAGCCCAATATCCTTTCACACCATTGCTATAACCCACAAAGATACACTTCGTTGACATTGGATCCAACTTGTTCATTTGACAACTTAGGATAAATGCATAAGCATCATAATAATTTTTTAAAAAAATTTAAGTAAATCACTAAGAGTTCCATACCATAGTTCATTAGGATTTTGCTTCTCAATGTATTAAAGGTGACCGTTTAAGCTATTGATATGGCTTCCACCATAATTATTGTTCTAGACCGGCATTGCTTAACATGCCCCTCACACACTCCATCAAAGTATGATTCATCATCTCTACAACTCCATTTTGTTAAGAATTATAGGCCTTTGTGTGATGCCTAGTAATTCCCTTGGCATTACAAAAAATTTTGAACTCTTTTGATGCAAACTCTCCACCATATCCGTCTGAGAAAATTTGATGTGATGGCCTGCAGATTTTTAAACTTTGACTTTAAAATTCTTGATTGGACAATACACATTACTCTTGGACTTAAGAGTTTTGATCCATATCTTTTTTGAGAAGCCATCAAATAATGAAATAAAATATAATGTATCTCCATAAGATGTCTTCGGTGAAGAACCCTATACATATGAGTGACTATAATCAAGTTTGCACTTTTATATTTGCATTTTTATGTTTTACAACCTTGAAAGGTTATCCATGTTGTTTTCCATAGACATAATGCGTACAAAATTTCGATATGTCAAATTTAAGTGTAGGAATAAGATTCATCTTTATCAATACCTTTACACCCTTATCACTTATATGTCCTAATCTTTAATGGCATAAGCGAAGTGGAACTTCCTCACCTTCCACTATTGAATTCACCTCATCACTTACTATTGTGCTTCTAAACAACTTGTACAATTTCCCAACTCAGACTCATTTCATCATAATTAGAGCCCCTTTTGATACTTTGATTGTTCCACCTTGATAAGTGAACTTGTAACCTTTCAAATATAGAGAAGTCAAGCTCTTTTTAAGCTCTAACACATGCTTAACATCCTTAATTGTTCAAATACTTCTATCAAACATTTGTAGAGGAACCAAACCCATGCTAACCACTTTGCTAGTCGAGTTATTTCCCATGGTTATCAATCCTCCTTTCACATGACTCATATGCATCAAACTATAATCTATATATGCACATATGATAGGTGGCTCCACTATCGAGGATCCAATTTTGATAGAATATAGAATTGTATGCTACCATCCATACTTCATCTTTGGTGGATCCAGATGTCAATTCTTCAACTTGATTTGCTTCTTTTTTAATCCACTTTGGCGTTCACCTTTCGCATTAGAATCTTTTGAAGAATTTACCACCTTCATTTTAAAACAATTTTTCTTTATATGACCGGGCTTCCCACAAAACCAACATTCATTCTTGTTATCAGACCCTCTTGATTTTGATCGAAGTTTTGAATTATTTCTTGAATGGTTCCATGATGAATCACCTTGTTTATTCTATTGACCCATTTATCACAAGAGCTTCCGTCTTTGATTCTACCAAACTACTCAAAGATACATTCTTTCGAAGTTTATCAGTAAGAAGAGCACTACAAACCAAGCTTAAATCAAAAGAATTTTCTTTAC